TTACATAGGAAATCTCACTGTATCTGATTCTGCTGTTTGAGTCTGCCAGGTTCACAGCGATTTGAATTCAGAAATAATCTGAAATGCAATTTTGCGCTTCTTTTTCTCATGATATGTCCTGTAGAATCAGAAAAATGCCATATGAACATGCAGACAATAAAAAAAACATGATTTTCATCGGAGTGGGTCTTTAACACTGCCTTCTTTTTAGTTTCAGGTCTTTGAGGAAAGTCAAGAGAGTGATGTCAGACCTGATGAATCGCATTAACAGGCGAGAGTAGAAATAATGACCCCTTTTTAAATACCCTTTAAAGGTGAGTGTTAGAGGGATTACACAGGGTTGCATCAAATCACTCAGAAGTTATTTAGTTATTTCACATTTATTCCTTTTTAAGATATTTTCAGGTTTCAGGTACATGAGAATAAGACTGATTTAGCCTGGATTCAGAAAAACAGTCATGGCAAGAAAACTGATTTCTGTCAAGACTACTTTTCTGCCCACTGGAGGGGAGCTGACTCTGAAACACAGATTTGTGTTGTATGACTTTGCTTTCAGACTTACCTTGTAGTTTTATTCCATATTCAAAACCCACTTTATTGATGTGTTTTTTTAAATCACTAATGCTTCCCTGAAGCAGAGACCAACTCACCAGGTTGTCCTACTCTGAGAGCTGTTTTTCTGAATAATATATGCAAATGCTTCCTACTTTCAGGGGAAAGCTTGACATCATCTATTGAACGTCTAAACCAGTAAATCAAAATTTTACCAAAAGAATTTGAATTAATTTTGCGCTTAATCAAAACAAAGTGATTTAGTCGGAGTGCGTCGACTATTTGGGTGGTCTCTCACCAGAAACACTTGTTGCAGGAGACCACAAGTGTTTCTGGTCTGGTTTTAAACAGTCCAGCTGTTCTCTGCTCCTTTTCAGTCACTTGTGTAACCATCTCCAGTTTGGACTCCAGTCATTTACACGTCGACACATGCAGTCATTTCTTCAATTTAAATTATAAAGTTAACTGATTCTGCGGGTTTAGGTCTAACCTCAGCCCTTTAGTTCAAGTCTTTCTACACTCTCTCTTCAAACGTTTCCTGTCTCTAATGAAGGCATGAGTGGCCCAAGAAGACCCGCTCATGCTACTGTGAAAGATATATAAACTGTTGCTTCTGACGCCAAGGCAAGAATCAAAACCTGTCTCTGAAAAATACAGTTTTGGATTAAACTTCAAGCGCAGAAAGAACAACAAATCTAGAGGTGCCTCAAAAAGGGGAATTTAAGAGTAGTTTTCTGTCAGCTAGAGATGAGCATCTGTTTTTGTGTGAGAGAAACATCAACAGTAAAACAGAGCTTGATATCAACACACAGAAAGCTTGTTCACATAGAAAAAAGCCTGTGTTATTTGTGCACAGCCAATTAATCAATTCACAGTCAACCACAGAGAATTAGAGTATTTAGAGTCCCGGGGTGACGTGCCAGAGAGTTGCTAATGATTTCAGTGCACATGGCAGCGCTTGGCAACTGAGTCCCCAAAACACAGAGCAGAAAATAAGCCCTGAGGGCCGTCTCAGACCTCTAATTGGGCTCTCAGCAGTGACAGCCCTGACAAATACACCAGCTCTGGGCACATACCAAAAAAAAAAGAGGGGAGAGAAAGTTTATCTTTCATGGAGACTGAGGAGAATGAGAGGTGGCCCCCTCTTTTTCGAGGTATACCTCCACAGGATCTACGCCAAACTGCAGAGCTGGATCTGTTCCCAGCAGAGACACACAGCTGACATTCAAACTGATACAACACTCATTGTTGAGACTTTATAGTGCTGGTTTCAATGTTTTCTCACGCACGCTGATTCATCGCTAATAAACTTTGATCAAGACAGTAATTGAACCAACATGTCTTCATAATAAAAGTTTAAAAAAAAATTGGCCACGCACCTAGAAATCTTGGATCAGCGTCATATTTTTTTTTTGTTTAGGAGTGAAGGATCATCGCTCTGGAAGCGTCTGGTCACATGTCAGATATTTTCTGCTGCAGAGTTTGGCAGAAAGTGATCCAGGATACTTCACACTGCTAATAAATGATGCAGAAAGCAATAAAACACATGCATAAAGACAATTATGTGGCTCTATAAAGTTTAATTACGCAGCCAGTCATGTTGTTATAATGGGGGCGCAAAATGTTGAGTTATCATTAGTGTGATATGGCAGAAACAAAGGAGACACACACACACACACACACACACACACACACACACACACACTCACACACACACGTGAACTCACACAATCATTATTATAGAAACTTTAACCTTTAGTACTGTGATGCTGCTTCACATGCTACTGCTGCATTTGTACAAATATTATCTGTCACCTACTAATTGAATCAATTCATCCAATCACTTCAATCAATTACAAAAACGAACCCACTAATGAACCCATTAAAAAATCTAATTAGACACGAGGTGTCTGGCTTTGACAGCTGGAAATACGCCAAGAAAACCCATTGAATCTTTATCTAATTTACTCTTCATTAGCATATGGTGAAACAATACAAAGTTATAAATAATTATTGCTTTTCGCCGTAGCTAATGTTTTTGTTGTGGGTAAAAGTATATAATACACACATTTATGTAAAGGAGCACGCCAAAGCTTGTGTTTAACAACCATTTCAGAGGCAGACAGAGAAGTGTTTATTTCTATGATTCAGTTCGCAGCTTGTATTAGCTTTGGCGAGTAATTCTGAACAGATGTAATGGTGGACACGACAGATACTTTCAGGAGATGATTTACAAAGTTCTGTTTTAGTCAGACTGAAACGATTCAAAGACAAAATTAGAAGCAAAGTAGGGCCTTAGGTTTTTATTTTCAGCCGTTAAAAACTAAGTGAAACCACTCTGCTGTTTTTATTTTTTATGATTAACACTAGAGAGGATAATTTCACAACATTCCCACTGAAGTTAAATCTGTCATCATCTGCAGATCGTTAAAAGTACTTGTTACTTTTTCTTTTAGTTTGTTCCAGTCAGGCAGGAAACTAGCGGAGGTAGAAGCTAGTCAGGCAGGTTGAGGAAAACACAGAGTCCACCACAGGTTAATGATGGCATCTGGAGTATCCACACTTGTGTTTTTCCCTCCATCCACTTGTTTTCTCTGTGATGTTTGTGCATGCTGGTGGTCAACCCTCCCCTGCAGATACAAATCCTGTTAAATCTGTTCAGTTTGTTGAGGTTAAACGCCAGAAATGGAGCTCAACAGATGGTCTGATGTGATACCTGTCAGCAAGCATGAGGGAGGGCTGGGAGCCCCCGCTGTGGAGCAACTGAGCGCGCTCAGACCTCCCAGATTTGTTTGGAATGGTGAAGTCGTTAGCAGAGGGTGTTTGTGCTGTTTGTGCAAAGTGACACAGTCAGCTGGATGAGACTCTGACTGGCAGAAAATGATGATCCAAGACAAACAGAGAGGAAATTCATGTCTTTTAAAGATCATAATTACAACTTATAAGGAGTGTTTTTGTTGTGTTTTGGTGCTGTTGTATGAACTTATTTAACTGGGAAGGTTGCTTTTGTCTTTATGTTTGTGTTTCTCTCTGCTTAGACCAAGGTGTGTCTGTGGCAAATGTGCTGTTATGTAATCAATACAAGACTCAAAATCATATTGACAGTTGTCTGTGCATGAACTCTGTCAATACAATTAATTAAACTGTAGAGCAGCCAGAGTTCATGTCACTTTAATTTTTCCCCCAAATTTAAAGTTTTTTTCCCCACTCTTACGCTAACTTCTGCTGGAGTAATCTTGATGTTAAAAAAGAAATCATGTGAGAAGATGCAAAAGAAAGTATATGGTAGTATATATAAGTCTCTTTTTCTTACTTTTCTTTTTACAGATCTTTTAATTGTGTTGCTACAATGGATAAGAGCCCCGTCTCTTAAAATTGGTTAAAAAGTGAAGTAAAAAGTGACCCAAAAAATGAACTTTTAAGAATAAAAATAGTCGAACTTGGTCATTTACAGTGCTACTGTAATAGGGTGACGATACGTCCTCTTTTACCCGGACATGTCCTCTTTTTGGGGGGGGCTGTCCGGACTTGTCATGTGGACTTACTGAGTTTGAAGCACGTAAAAGACACTTAGTCTGACCCAAAAAAAACCTCTCGAAATTAACTTTGTGCGACTCTGTGACTCTGCCCCCCGTAGTCGTGTCCTCTTTCTGGGAGGTCAGAATATGCTCAGCTTAATTGTAATAATGTGAAAATCTAATTCTGAGATTTTTGTGGGGAATTATAAAACTCTTCTAGCAAAGACATACACTGACAATGCTTTAAATATGACTTTTAAAATAATAAATAAACCAAATAGTCTATTTTAAAGCCAGTATCCAGCACTAAACACTGTTGCAGCACAACAAAGACATCATTCCAGCAAAGATAAGAACAACTGAAACTTATACTGCAATCTATGACATCTAAAATTACCTTCAAAATTTCCCCCTGAAGCAGACACAACACCCAGGACTGTGACCTCAGGTCCCCCTCGGTAAACCTGCTCATATATCTGTCTTATAAGCAAAAAAAGAAAAACAAAACACAATCCAATACACCAAAGAAAGTGCAGATCAGTGGTGTGATAAAGGGCATGCAGGTGCAAAAGATCACACAACACCTGTTGCTTTCACTGTGGACCAAAATAATATGGTGTTTATGAAACATAACTCGTTTCTTGCATGAAAAATGGGTCAGCTGGTTGTCTGGAATTCATCACTGCTGATGTGTTATGTTGTGTGCTGGCTGAACTGGCTGGGTGGGATTGTAGAGAGATGTGAAAAATAGTACAGATGTCTAATCAGATCTGACAGCCTCATATAAGGTCTGGTTCATGGAGCTCTGCTTGTTACATACCTGACATTACTCCTAACACTCTCTCCTCTTTCTTGAAAGCGCCTCCTCTGCTCTCAGCTTATGTCAGTCTCACTAGTTGATGGATGAAACAAAGGCAGGTGAGGAGGTGGCTATCCAGAGGCGCAGGCCTCAGGTGTGAACAGGTGTGAAGGTTCACTGGTGTGCTGGAATGGGAGCAGTTCCAGGTGCACAGCTGCGGGGTGTGGCTCCTCATCGTTCATACACACAGCTTGTGTTGAAATACTGAGTCCCTGGGAAGGAGGGAGAGGGAGAGGCGGTCTGGGTGGGGCCTCTGGTTAAATTTAATCTCACACTATCATAACTTTGAAGAAGGAAAGTTGAGGAAGAAAAGAGGTTGGAGGGCATGGAGGGGGATTTAAGCATGAGAGAAAAAAGAGGGAAAGCACAGCTTTTTAAAATTTTCACTCACGTTTGGACGGACTCTTTGTCTGTGTCGGTGTGTGTAGGCGTGAGTGATCTGTGTATATTTAAGAAACAGTAGGCCGCAAGCAAACAGAATGACAAAGAGTGATGTTTGGGAGGTTGTATGTCTAGGATCTAAGTGCGTGGTAGTCTGGTCTCCGGGGAAACTATTGTTCTTATCAATCCATGATTAAACAATGTTAGTAATTTGCAATCCTGCTGGAACACATCCTGGTGAATTTCTGTGTCTGCAATGAACTCGCCTAAGCTCAGGGCAACATCAGACTCGGCCTGAGGACAGATTAGGCTGCAGACAAGCTCTGGGTTTGCAGGGTACATGATCTCTAAGTCTGCTCTATCAAAGGTCAGAGCAGCTGAGTGAAGAGGAGCGTTGGGGCGTTGCGTGGCTGCTAAATTTAAGAGGAAAAAATGGGTCAGTGGCTACAGTCATTTTACAAACACAAGCAGATAGGATACACACATGCACATGCTGGTATCTATGTGGACAGTGATGCAGCAAAGTCATCACAGGTTCAGAGTATGGATGTGGAGCTTTTCTCTCAGCTTCTATAATCCCTGGTTTTTACTATACAATGTAGTCCCACAGTCCCACTGAGTGTGAGACCAAGCGCCAGACGAGCAGTCTGACCTTTGCCGTCCTTGGAACAGTTGATGCTGGGTAATGTATTCTGCAGTTGATTCCTTTTTTTTTCTTTCTATGAATTTTAACAACTTTTTTTTTCTCCTCATCTGTGACTCTCTTAGCCTTTCACTCTGTGTCTCCGCACTGCAGGATATTATTCCTCCTATTACCTCTCAGAACTCCAATCACTACATGTCCTGTGGAGAAACAAAGCTGCCAGACTCGGTCCGAGATGGAAACGGTGGAGGGGAATGTCAATTTCCTCCAATCGGCTCTGAGGAGGGGTGTGTTTTTTTCCTGCGGGGGAAGATTAGGTTGATGTCAAATCTGTGATCCATTGAGCTAAAATGTGCTGGAGACAGCCAGCTCTGAGTGACAATAGCTGGTGTAAGACCGAATATCAAAATGTGCTGAATTCATGAGGAGACAGCTGTTTTAAAATCGATGTCAACCTATTTTAATTTGCCTCCATCCCCTGATATGAATACATTTGTCAGTCGCAGCTGCCATTGAGATTCCTCTTGGTATCAAATCAGCCAAAGATAAGTCAGAGGATGCCAAGAGTGTCCATCTGAATCCATTAGTCGTCTGTTACTAATTACCAGTGACTCCGGGGTTGATTAAAAGAAATCACCGAGCAGCAGCACACAGCATTATGCTAATGAAAACTCATTTGGAGAGGCAGAGCAAGGGCGCCGGCAAGTATTTGGACGACTTCACCGTGCAGCCGAGCTGGCTGGACTGAAAGGCTTTTTCTAATCAAGTTAAGACTTACCGTGATGATGATGATGATGATGATGATAATGACAGAATCTCCATCATATTGATCTGTCAGATGACCAGATTGATGGTTCCCTCCCTACGTTGACTCTTTCCCTTCCCTCCTTCTTATTAGCATTTAGATATTTAGCCTGCGTTTGCCCCGTGGCTAAAACTACCAAACAACTTCCTGGCGAGAGAAGATAAGACACGTTTGGTGTGTTTTAACCATAATTGATTTTTTTTTTCCGTCTAATTAGAAAGCCTTCAGGGGAAATGAGACACCAAAACAAGCTTCTAATCACCAGAAAGCGATTAGTTTGATACCAACAAGTTTCTTCACAAAGATGTCAGAGAAGCTGCTGCCGCCCTGACAACTTGTTACAGACACGTTCTCACTAAGAGGTATTGATCATTCATTACACAAGCAAAGCAAAGGTCAATACTGCATCAGCCGGCTCCATAACTCTGCTAAACCCTCGGAACAGCTCGAAAGGAGCGTGAAAATCTACTCATGCAAACGAAAATACATGACCTACTTTACATTTCCTTTAAATGTGACGGGGTGAAGACAGAACCTTTGCCAAAAATCAAAGCAGGTTAATTTCATGACCTATTTCTCTCTTGAACTACAGAATCAGTGAGGGAAAAATTTGAAAAAACTTTTAGAATTAAAACCCAAAGCCTTGAACCTCTCTGTTCATTTTTATTTCTGCAAATTTACAAAATGAAGGGTGTGTCTGATGCAGAGGGCTGTCAACATACAGACTCGGCAGCTGCCATCTTGGTTGTTTACATCTTTCTTCAGCAGCACTTCTCTGTACATGAATCTTTAACTGCTGTTTATGACGGTTTATCAAATCAGCACCACATTAGATGAGACGCTGTGATTGCTCTGAGCTGAAACAAGCTCAATGAAAATGTCTCTGAAGTAAAGGAGGTCCAGATTCATCAACAGAAAATCTGTGTTGAGTTAACTGTGTGTGAACTATTTTATGTTGTAGAGAAAACACCTTAAAATGACGACGTAGGGGGATTTTAAAAATCATATTGTGCTTTTGCGACAACACAAACACAAATCTGCCATAAAAAACACAAATCAAAGTTGTATTGTCTGACAATTAATGCTTGACAGTGAAATAAATCATTTTTTAAATAAATATTTTACACAGAAAACATAAAAACAGAGTTGTTTCATCACCTACTCCTCCCCTCTCGCAGTTTTCAGGGGTTAAAAACTCTGACGTAATGATCCTTTATCCTGTTCCTGAGGGTCTTTTTTTGCTTTTGAACTCTGGATCTCACTCACCTGATGTAGCACACCTGCTTTATTTGTCTTCTGTATTTTGTTTGATCTGCTAGTTTGTTTTGTGGATCCTTTTACTCAGCATCTAGCCTGTGAAAAATGGTGTTTTGTTTCAGCTTGTATAAAATGACTTTAAAGTTGACTTGATATTTTGAGGACAAGTTTTTTTTTTCCAACAAAACTCCCAATATAAAAAAAATTCTTGTCCCTATGATAAGCATTTTTATTCTGTTTGTGAAAGACGTGGTAGATATTTTCCACAGGGGAAAAATTAAAGGTTAAAGATTTTGATTTTCTGTCACTTCATACAAATCTTTCATCTTCAGCGAGAGACTCTTTAGATTTGGCTGTAACTGCTCTGGACCCTGTCCTCCTTTGTCTGATGACAAATAGCCCGAGGCTTTAAAGAGGTTCACCCGTGTGCTGTCCCTTCCCAGATACAACATCCAGCCCCCGAGCACCTGTTAGAGGCAGCTCCCCCTCTGCATCTAATAAACAGCTTCAGCTCTTGATCCTCTGGCATGGCGTGGAGTCCACTCTTCATCTCTCACATCTGTGATTCCCCGAGCATTCTCCAAAAATCCCCTCGGCTGCTCAGTGATCTCTCTCAGCTGTTAGCGTACCCTCGGGCCGGGGCAGCCTCGCTCTGTGCTCCAGCTGCAGGCTTTGCTGTGGTCATGGGGCCCTGCTGAAGGGCACTATTGTCCATTCATGGGGTTCACTGTGTGAGAGGTCAGCTGAGGGAGAGCCTGCACTGGGGCCTGGCAGGAAATGAAGGTGGAGTGGCAGTTCAGACGATAGTGAAGAGCTTAAGCCAGAATAAATGAAACAGTTCAAAAATGCACAGAAAGAGTTGAGTCACGATTTTGGACAGCTGACGTGAAAGTGATAGCTGCGGGGATTAAGTAAACACCTTGATACTTTCTAACTCTTGCTCAAATCTGTCTTGATTTGGTGTTTTGTCTTTGTGCAGCGAGAAGTTTAAACACTCTGTGACTGCGAACAGCCAGAGCCTCACAGATGTGCAGATAAATCTTAATTTCTCACCCAGTTAAGCAATTCAGTCAGTTCAGAGGGAGCTCTGCTTCAGGCCAAAGGCACCTTTCAGGATCCAGAGGAACTGCAGAACAAATTGGAGAACAAACAGTCACACTGGGTCATTCTCATCATCCTTTATGTGAAAAGTCAAGGACCTGAGGAGGAGGGCTGGCTGCACCCAACAATGAACAATAACACACATGTTGTGGTACTCGGCTGACACTTGCTAAAATGGCGTTTGTCACATAAATCTTTTATAAGCCCAGCTCACAGTCCTCCATCGTGAGGCGGCTGAATGGTTTTACAAGGGACGAAGAATTCATCAAACACGAGTCCAAAGGCTTTGTGCCGACGCTGCAAATATGAGTAAGAGTGAAGGACACTTTCCAAACGCCTTTCACTGCAAAAACTGCTAAGCGAAAATAAACTGATGGCTATTTCAGTTCAGTACTTCTCAACCTTTATGTCCACCCCCACCTTTTCACAAGGGCTCCTGTTCCCCTGTCTGCCCTTATATATATGTGAGCCTCCATCGAGAACATTCAACACTGATTCATGGTGACATGATAACAATAACTGAATGGAGCTGTCTTGTTGGTTTGGTTGTAATTTTTCATTTAATGTGATCTAGTTGTAACATAATCTGGAGATTTTTTGATGCTTCACCTCACTTGGCATTTTTCAAACTAAAATTAAGTCTTATTATTTAATCTTGAGGGATTATAATTTATTGAAGCCTAAAGAAAACTGCTGTATTTATTACAATACTCAGTAACACTTTACTTGACACCTATCTCTATAACGCATTATAAATATATGTATAATGCGTTATAACCACATTATAGCACTGTATAACTATAGTTATAAACACTCATAAATGGTCATGATGCTTTATAGCAATAATCATAACATTATAAAGCATTTTATCATGACTCACAAGTTCAGGTATTATAATGTGTTATAACTGTTCCCAACTCACTGACAATGCCCACATAGATTATGCATTATACATATATTTATGATGTGAATTTGCTTATAAACTTGTATAACTATATTATAAACATTTATTATAACAATAAGCATAACATATTTTAATACCTGACCTTGTGAGTCATGATAAAATACTTTATAATGTGTTATGATTATTGCTATAAACCATTATGATCGTTTATGAGTGTTTATAACTATAGTTATACAGTGCTGTAACATGATTATAACGCATTATACGTATATTTATAATGTGTTAAAGAGATCGGCATCAGGTAAAGTGTTACCAAATACTGCTTCATATATATAAGGTCATAATGTCCTTGTCTATGGTAGCTTCTCTGGTGACAAGTAATAAATGAAGGTGTGACTTTGGAGCTTGGCTGGTGTACTTGTGATACTTGCGACATCTCCAGACAGATGCCCTGCCAATGGTCAAATGTGTCTTTGTCATGGGAGTGAGTTGAAGGTTTAATCTGTGGTGGTTTTTCATATTTCCTTTCTTGGAAACCAAAATAATAAAACTCATTGATGCATCTCTTGTTATTTTTCGTATAAATGTCATTGTTGATGCCAAGTTCATTGATGGAAATGCGATAGCTCTGATCCACAGGCTCATTGTGTTTGTCATTCTAACACAAAAAGTGACAAAACAGCTTCAAATATTCATCAAAGTTATAATCTTTGAGATTGTTTCGGATATCATAACTTGCAGTTAAAAGCTCGCCCACTTTCTTTCTATTCTCACTTCCACTTCTCTCTGCAGAATTACTGCTGGCTGTGATTAAGATGGATTAACTCGGTAAAAATCCTCCAGAGTATAATTAGCCTGCAATAACTTTGCTATTGAAGGGGCTTAAATATAAAATGTCTTTAAGGTAAGATGAAAAAGACGAGCGAAAAGGACAAAAACAGACTGAGAACATATATAAAATGCTTATTTCACAAATTCCAGCTCTTGAAATCTGCCTTCAAGAATATACAGCACTTCATATGAACCTCAGCTGAAGAAGCAGATGTACATACAGACATATAAATGTCAACGCTTTGAATTTATCAATACCTGTTGGCTTCGCACTCACCATCCAGCCTCTGTGCAGAGAAAACCCTTAACGTTTACAATCTTAAACTAAGTGATAAGCATCTTCCACTTTCACACCGTGAGACTAACAGGAGGATTTTCACCTCAGAAGGGAGATGTCTGTAACTTCACACATTAATCAGCTAATTATATCTGTACAAGAAGCTTCTTTTCGGAGGCAAACAAAAGCTAGAATTAAAAAAAGAGGAGAGAAATCCCTCGATTAGAAGGAAAAACACAGAGGAGGCTTGAGGGAATTTTCCAAAGCCTTTACGAAGCTTAACAAGAGGCAAGAATGTGATAGAAGTGGATTTTTCTCAATGCACCAGTGCTATGTCGATTTTCTTTTAGTTCCAAACAAGGTCACATATTTTCAGCCAAAGATAATGAGCAACCCAAAGGACAGAGCACATACTCGGAGGTGAAGCTGGAACGTCAGCAGCAGTTTTTCTTTGTTTTCTGTTTTCCATTCACCGAACAGCGACAGGAAAGAAGAAACGATTAAGACTCAGACAATAACAGACAAAAGAGGTGATCCAGATCTCGCTGCAGACTCAGAGGTGTGGAGCGGGCAGACACGGGGCGTTGAGGGATTATGAGCCCAAAGGGTTTCAGGGCTGCAGACCAAGTGACCTTTCTCTACACCGCACTGGCGACTGGTAATCAGGGGCAATTATAGCGGCCTCATGGCCACAAATCACCTAATCCTGTTTTGGGAGTGGGAGCCAAGCGTCATTAAGGCACCCTGCTACACTGACCCTGTGCCTAGCGGAACTAAGCCTAGTGGCCAACCGGCACCATCCAAACGGCTAACTTTAGCTGAGTGCAGGGCCAACTCCTGGAGAGAGAGAACCACCTGTTTCCACAGCCTCGGACCCCCGACACTGAGCTGATCAAAATTATGCATAATGTGAGGACATGTGAGTGTGAGCTGAGCGGTGATTTATGTGGATTTAAGCCAAAAACAAGTGTAACCACTTTGTGCACAAACACAGGGAGCTTTAATGTCACTCAGTTTATTTTGATGTAATACTCATGTACCCGCAGAGGCTTTTTTTATGCTTAATTGTACTGTTATCCACTCGCAGATTGTCTTGCAGCACTGACCTTTAAAATGATGAAAAACTGGAGTGTCCCGAATGTCAGGGAGCGTCACCGTGTTGCACTATCCAATTTTGTCCTGCAAGAGAGATAAGCTGCAGTCATTTGTAAGACAGAAGTAGGTTTTAATACTACATAATATCAATATTACATAAGAATATATAAAGAATTGGTGAAGGTCTTTATCTACAAACAGACTCACACAACCACAGATTTAAGCGATTCAACAGATTAGTAATGTGTCACCAAAAAATTATATAAATTGCAATATAATGTATCGCAATACTCACCGTATTGCAAAATGTTAAAAATCGCATTAATATCATATCGTGGCCCAAGTATCATGATAATATTGTATTGTGGGGCCACCCATCCCATGATCAGCACTTGTTATGGTTATGATAATCAAAATGATCATATTTGCAATAAATATTAATTAAGTGCCAAATAAATGACTCAGCTCTTTGTAGCTTTCAGTATACCAATACAAAGGACACTACAAAATTATACTAAACTAGCAGCGAACAAAGCTGATATTCAAATGTAAAGCTCATACAGGATACAGACAAAATAATAACCATTGTGGTCTATGAGAAGAAGTTCAACGAACAATGTACTCTCTAAGCTGCAGTGAAGTGAGAATCTCTTCAGTCTTGTGCAGCAATAGATCATCAATATGTAAGTCAGGCTGCGCAGAGTCAGTGTTGAAGTCAGTCTGCTGACTTCATTACCGACCTCCCAACAATCCGACTCTAACAGCAGATTGATCACTCTGCAGGATCAGCCCTGACAATTAATAATGCCTGCAGTCTTCACTCCCTCACAAGTTTCCTGCTACAAACTCTGCAAGTTTCTCTCCAAAGAAAATCACACAGTCGTGATCGTCAACGAAGTGATGTGTTTTTTTTTTACATGTTACTGTTTGTGAGTTCAAGCACTTGATTGTAAAAGCACTCAGTCATTCTCAGGAGCATTACTATTGATTTGAATCTTTAGTAGGAAACATGTTTCTTCTATATTTCTGTGACAAAAAGGCCCCGCTTGGATCCTTATGTCCCTGAACACAACAGCAGGAACCGCTCTGTGTCAATTAGACTAGAACTAATTCACATGTCATACTTAACAGCATTTATTGAATGTACCTCTGACTCAACCAAACCATTTATTGAAACACCAGTGATTTAACCTAACAGTATTATTATCATTTGATGGATTTTTGTCGATATAAAACCTCGAATGAGCGGAAATACAGCAGAAATGTGTCTGAATTCAATCATGGTAAACACATTAGTATTATGTAGATTGACCACTGCAGAGAAAAAAATGAGTTTGTATTATTCATCTGGATTTTTTTTTTTATATTCGTCCACTTATTTCCTTATTTGGTGCTGCAATGACAGGAAAAATAATAAAAGGCCTCAATACAGTAAGGCACACTGAAACAACAAATTAAACTGACAAATCCTGTGTATCTGCAGGAATATAGACATCCATCTCTACTTTGCTATTTATTGGTTGGATGTCATGTACACTCAAATTCAGCAGGGCTCTTTTTACAGCAACATACAAATAGCTGTTGTCTGTCAATTAAAATAATAGTGGGGTATGAAATGTCAGTCAAACTGTGATAATTTATACACAGTATTCAACACCCTGCTCATGGAACAGACAAACCCACCCACAATTCATTTACCTGCTCTACAGCCCGACTCCCGAATGAAATAGAAACGGCGATCAATCATAATGTAGCTGAGGAGAGAGCCTCTGGGGACAGACAGGCAGAGTGTTTGAAGAGAGGAACAGATCAAGCTGTAAAGTCGAGGGAGAAACCATCAGCAGGGCTATCGAGTTTTCGCCCTTAGTGGTGCAATCAGACAGATTTATTTAATCAGATGTAAGTAAGGCTGCTTGTTCTGTGTCTGCTATTGATTTTTCTTAAAGCCTTAAAGAAGACTTTAAAAGAGTCTCGTTTTAAACTCTGTCCATCATCTGCTAACATCTCCTCTGAGAAGAAATTACATCAAAGGTTCTTTATGAGTCTATGAAAAATTTTAGCATGAAAAACAATATTTTGATCACATTTCTGAAAGTTGGGTAAAAGTGGACACAATACATTATAATTAGACCACAGACAGTGCTCCAGTAAGTCAAAAGCACTCTGTCTGACTTACGGGTCCAACTAGTGGGCAAAACTAAACTCAGTCTGAACATTTTTGCCTCCGTAAAAACATGTCATTTCTAAAATTCTTCCTATCAAAAGGATGATAACCTTAAGTGCATCTGTTACCCAGTTTATATCAAATATGCAATGACACCTGCGGAAATGGAAGGCACATTTTCAGGCTCTCTCTTATCTGTGTTTTTGGTTTCTGCCACCTCTTTAGGTTCATCTCTGGCCTGCTGCCTGCTAACAAACCATATGTATGTCTGTTTTGGGAGGCTGGGATTTTTTTTTATATAATTTCAGATTTCTTTCTCTGATCATTTTAGTTCTTATTTTACTTCTTTTATGGCATTATTTCTCATTGCATTTTAGTCATTTCACTGTTGGACATATTGCACATATAGTTATTATCTATTTATTTATTTATTTATTTATTTTATTATTATTTTATTGATTGTTTAATAACAAGGTGGGTTACTGTGAAATGAATTACCCTTCACGGATGAGTAAAGTTATCTGAATCTGAATACAACAAACCATGTAATTGAAAAAACTGTGAAAATCAGCGGATCATGTTGGGTGCGCTTATTAAAGCTCCTGTGCTTATTTAAGCTTATTTAATTGCACTCCTCCCACTGCACTGTTGTTCTGGATTGTATAGTTGTCTTTTATACTTATTGAACATAGCATTGTACATAACCTTTTATATTTTTATACTTTTATACTTTATTTCTTGCCTGCTCTTATTAGTTTTTATTCTAGTATTTTATATTACTCTCTGTTTATTGTTGCACCATCATGCCAAAACAAATTCCTAGTCTGTGAATCCTGTTCATCGATAATTGCCATAAAACCCCTTCTGAGTTCTGAGTGAGGATTTTCATTTCAGTTAATTTTGGGACCCCCTTTTGGCTTCTCTTGTCCTCCACTTGGCAAAGTAGTGTCCTCTCATCTTGCTGACTGCTGACAGTCAAATATGTCGCTTATTGTGAGAATTTTAAGTGGAAAATGTAAAAACAGGGCTGTTTATTCAGTTGCTTGACTGACATCTACCCCCTCAAAAGACCTTCAGGCTTAAAAATGTCACCATAAGATTGTGAGTGATTTCTCTGATGGCCTTGTTTGCTTTTATACATCATAAAAAGACAACAACTCAAATTTCAATCTCTTTCATAAATGCCTGAAAAACTCCTGACAGAAGCTTTAAGGCAATATCTTCCACACACAAGCAGCCATGTGAGCTTTTATTGACTGTGGCAGCATTAATGGTAGCCCTGACTGTAAAACGAAGATCAGAGTGGGTATTTCAGTGGAACCTCTACTGAAACATGTTTATTTCATGATGAATATTTGATGCCGAACAAAGATTCCCCCCCACTTAAAGCGAGTGTTTTCTTTGATGAGCGTGTGGTGAGTTATGGCGGGCAGAGTTAGACCAAAACAGCTCACAGCGTGACACAACAAAGAGTTAAACCTTTCCTCTGGATTGCAGCATCTCCTATTTCCAGCAAAGGTCTTTGAGGGGTGAAATAATGAGGGATGAAGATGCAACGGATGCAGCTAGCGTTACAGTGAAGTGCTCCCCTGAGCGAGGAGGGCGAGAGGAGAGGGGGCATGACGTGCGCAAGTACAGGCAGAGGGCAAAGAGGCCCTAAAGTCACACCAAGACATGGTTAAGAGTGCTTGACCCATAATTTCCCTCATTTAAGTCATTAAAACCACATGCAAATTATGCCAGAAAACAACATATATGGATTTTTGGATTTCTCACACAAACTTGATAACTTTTAACACTTATTTGCACAAGAGCAAATGTTGATTTCACCACAGATATCTAAGCAGTCAACACTCTTATCGAGCATTTTCTGTCGTTTTCAAAGAGTGTTTTGAATGTGACTTCTCATAATCAAGTGTACTAATATCATCCCACCTGAGGGAAATCAGGGGCTTTTTGTTCTCACTGTCTCTGTAAGAGGATTTGGAGTGAACTCTGAAAGCGAACGCTGAGGTTATCAGATGACTGCGGAGATTCTCCTGCGAGAGTTTCCAGTCAACTGACTCCTAATGAGTTTTCTGCAGAAACAATTAGATATCGTCCGTGCAGCACAGAAGAAACCGGGCATCGCGCCACATTGATTTAGTGCAACAATTAGCATTCATTACATTTCTGATAAGCGTCGTTCTTTTGTTTCATGCGGACAAATAATGGGACAATTGATCAGATGTTATACTGCATTTTCTATCTGCGACACGAAGCACGTTTAGGTGTTGAAACAAAGACATCAGGGATCTTCACCCCTCGGTTTAACGCTGTCAGATTAACAATCATATTTGCATTTTCACATACCAGCTTTTACATCTCTGTTTTCACTCCTCCTTCCTTCTGTCATCTTGTTTTTGAAGCCAGTATTAGTCGGAAATTTCGAGGATGTCTTCTTTTTCTCTGGCTGTTTCTGTCAGCCGTGCTCAGAATGTTAAAGGCTTCGTAGGGATATTTGTACTGCTTCAGAAGCTTGTTCCTAAAAAGACTCTGTGTTCATCAAAGGAGCAGCATTTATAAGACTTGCTCACAACCTGGCAGCCTTTCAGCAATTACTGTACCACAGAGACACTTCACTTGGCAGTATGATACGCCTCCTGGTGTCATTTAATAAAGGCAAACAGAAAATTTAGCAGGAAATTTAAAGTTGGAGATGAAATATTGATCATTTCTAGCTGTCTGAAGGTCAGGCCTTTTTCTTTAATGCAGTGCTCCAAAGGCAGATATCTCAGTGAACACTTTGTGATTCCCTGCCAGATCAATATTATTTGACATTTGCAGTAAGGTGCATGGCAGCAGGGGTGAGAGTAGAGCAGAGCGCGTACAAAGGAGAGGGCTGACAGGGCCCGGTGTGACCATTAGCTTTGTGAGAAACCCCACGGTGCAGGAAAAGTAGGAGGCCGGCGAGCTTCTGCTGGGTTTTTATTTAGGAGACACGACAGGAGACCCAGATGAATAACTCGGCCTCGAAACACTGAATAATAGTAGGTTTTATAGTCTCCAACGCTGTATTCTACGGGCTTTAACAAAACAGGGCTTAGTGATGCATTTGGATTAGGAGAAAATAACCATATTTTCCGCACCGCACTCACCCCTGACTCCAATCTGCCCAACACGATCCTGTGTAGACTATCAAACACGAATGCTGTTTGTGCTTATATAAAGCTGATCAGGGTTATGTTTTCATACTTTATAATGTCTTCAGATTCATCAGCCACAGAAACAATGTCTGAGTGAACTATTCAATAAGAGCTGTACTGTAAATGCCACACTAATAGATAGAGCAAATTAACTGAATACAACAGTCTTGATGTACACAGCCTATAAGGTCTATTGTGTTACTTTTATGCTAAATAGTGTTGCTTTTTCTTTTGTCTGTGCTACAATAGGTAAAGAGCGTTTGTGCTTATCTTTTCTCCCAGATGATCCTCCACGTATTGACGGTTTCAAATTTAAAATTCATGAAAAACAATGAAGACAGAAGTGCTGTTTGCTGCACTAAAATCTGCATAATTAGAGGCCCTTAAGTAAACAGATAATCATCAGTATTTTTTAGAAAGATGACAATCATCCAACTTTAAAAAGCTAGCTGTGTTTTCATCCAAGAATTAGCATTTGGAAAGGCAGGTCGGTTTCAACAGAGTCTCCCTCCGTGATGATGCAATGATTCGATATGCGGAAGAATCTTTGTTCTGAGTGAGACTGACTGCGGCTCGGAAAAAGGACGTTTTCTCTCTGCGGCTGCTGTGTGTAATTGAAGTGAGAGAACAGAAGAAGTGACTCATGGATCAGAATATTGATTTTAGCTGAACAGGATTTCATCATCATTATCATGCACGGTGCGTCTCGGTGAGCAGCAGAGACGTCCACTGGGAAGACTCTGCTGTCACGTCCTCGGGGACCTCACTCTAACAGGTACAATGAAATAATGAAAGAATTGATCGCTCTGATCAATAATTGAACCCTTTTTACTTTTTGTGCTGCCACTATGCGGCTGCAAATGTTACTCAGCTAACATGTTGCAGGGATGTCGCTCTCAGTTAGTTCGCCCCTCTGTAAACCTGACCACAGGGCAGCCTCAGGGCAGCAACACATGAGAGGACTAAACTCCCATTTATAACAGTCTAAACACAGCTTACCCATAAACCTGCTGTTTCACATTCACGATTCATTCACAAACAGCTCTGATAAAATCCAAACACATATTTGGTATCACTTTGCACAAGTTACTTGTTTTCAGCGAGATCCAATTCTTTGTGTGCAAGACTGTTGAGGCGACAATATTTCACTCTGTGCAGTGAAACCCAGGAGATAATCAATATGACATGCCAAACAATAGAACACAATGATTTGAGTTTAATACCCAGGGCTCGAGAATCACTAATGTTCCTGTTGCAGAAAATCGATCTGCTCCACACCGGAGCGGCTCTAACTGAAACGCACCAAACGACGGAGAGTGAGGGTGCATCAAACACACGCTGAGCTAACAGTGAGCTAAAACTGGAGGGTCCAACCACCTCACAAAGACACACTGTTGTTGAGTTTCTCCCCAGAAGTCTCGCCGTGAAAACTTGTGCGGCAGAATATCTTAACATTTTAAACAGAGTGTTGTAGTAGACCAGAGCAAAACTTTCAGAGTTATCACATGACATTATAGAGGAAACTTGTCGGATGGTTTCAAACACACGTGAAATAGAGGTTTCAACAAGACATTTGATGAGTTGGTTTTGTTTTTTGACCCTTGGTGGTGCGTCTACATATCCACCCATCTTCTTTCCTGGAGCCATCATGAGATTGAAAACCTTCATATAAAAGGTATTATCTCACTATTATCTGGCAAATACTTTAATTAATGAATATAAATCTGAAAAAAAGACCTTCCACTTTATGAAGCCAGTGTGGCCCGAGGCTGCAGTTGATTGTATCTCCAGTGGAAGGTTGACGAGTCGATCCCAGCTCCCGCAATCACATGCTTAAGTGTCCTAGGGCAAGACACCGAACCGCAGATTGCTCCCAGTGACAGTCAGCTGTTTATGAATATGTATGAACGAGATTCAGTATTACTGATGTCCTCTACCACATAGCAGCCTCTGCTCTCTTTCAATATATTGTTACATGCAAAGTCGAGTCACGCTCAAAGACTGTATAATAGATGCACTTAACATCAGGGACATCACCCATTTGTTTCTAAAGCAGAGTTTTGAAGCAGTGATCTCCATATACTGGAAATGCTGACTCAACCTCACTTTCAGTCATCCCACAAGAGGCCGACCTTTAGCCTCCGTCTGCAGCATGCCCACCTATCAGTCAAGAAAGCCATGCCTCTGACTTGCAGATCTTTACCAGTCGCCAAGTGAGAGCCCCAAGTTATTCAGACCAAATCCCTCTTTTGAACCAGGCTGCAAACGTGTGAAGTAATTTAGCTTTGAAAATTGGCTCTTTTGACTCGGTGTGTATGTGGTTTCTAGTGCTACTGCAGCCACCCTCAGGCAGGCACTCAGGGATCTGCAATTTTTTTGCACTTCTGTATCAGCTTCATTTCTTGAGATCGGAGGTTGCAGCTTGTTTAACTGGACTATTGTCCTTGTCCCAGTTTACAGCACTTGAAAAGAACCAAGTTTTTGACAGAAACATGTGCAGAACGCTGAGGCGAGTTTCACTCTGATTGAGCCAAATACACGGAAGAGAAACTCTATCCTCAACTGCATCATCTCGGTACGTTAGTGCGACTACGAAATGTTCAATTTAGTTCAATTTAGTGTGTTTATACGTTGCCACAGAAAACATTCAGACTGCTGTGTCATTTCATATTCTCTCAGATAAACACCAACTGTATCTCTGTACTGCTCCAGCAGAGTTGGGGTAAACTTGTGAAATGATGTGAAGACGCTCGCTCAGAGAGTTTTAAGCGTGGAGGCCAATGTGTAATTAATTAACCATGTCCCAGAGGCAGAAAATGACAGCCACATTTTCAGGCTTCTATTACAGGGTGTCAAGTTGCAGACCTCAGGGAAGGGGGAGCTGCCACTGCCACATCTCAGGAATCTCTCCCCCTCAATTCAGATACATGATAAATATTCAATGACACATGGGCTTATGGGTAACAACCGGCTCTATTTCCCTGAACTTGATGGAAGAGGGGCTCGCCGGAGCAACGTAATACAGATCCTCAAAACCAAAGCACGAGTCTGCATCAACACCCCCTCGGGATGCACCCTCTGATCTCCAAAACCGGAGACGCCAGTGTCAGTAAATGATCCCCGCAGCACACTGCTCTCCTTACAGGTGAAAGCACTCTGCAGGACCAACCCAAATATCCTCACACAGAAGGAAATGTGAAGTTAAGCAAAGGAAACTGCTGTGTGTTTTTGATGCTCGCATGTTTGGATGTCATCAGCATATCTGTGTTGTTTTGTTAGCTTGTCTCCCGAGCCTCCGAGGAAAGGGTTAATGTTGTTTGCTTTTGCACTGACTGAAGTCACTCTCTGACAGGATGATCAATAGAGCAGATTACTTCACGCTGCCAGCTATCACCTTTCTCTCAGTGCTGCATAAATGAGCCCAACACACCAGCAATGGAGGGAGGAAGCTGCTTACAATGTTTTAGAGGATATTTTTGGGGAAAAAAAGTCACATTGTAAATCCTTTTCTCCTACAGCAACAACATGTCCAATTAAAATAAATCCCATAGGAGTTATTTTTAAAACAGTTCATTATAGTTTAATCATAGGTGCGATGGTGTGAAGCTGATTAACTGTAAATCATCACCTCTATCACATATTGAACAAAGAGATATGTAAATGAGACTGAGGATGGGCTAACTGTTTCTCAGCCTATGACCTTAATTAAGTCATCAGACTCAGCTGCTTGACCGCTGGTCAGGACGCTCAGTCACAGTGTCCTATGCAGCTCTGACAGGACACCGAACCTGCTCCTGCTATAGAGAATCTAAAGGCTGTGTCTCTACCGTAGACTGTTTGTGTTACGGAAACTCTCATTAAACATTTTTAAAGATTTGTCCGCCTCAAATTTGTAACCATGCACCCTGAGAATAAATGATTTTCATTATCTAAATTACCTCTGAGTTTTTAAACCAAAAGTTAAAGGGATATTCCGGCGTAAAATGAATCTAGGGTCAAACACACTGTAACACCGAGTTAGACAGAGAGATGAATGTCGCACAATAGCAAAACACAGCTGTCTGAGGAGCCATAAACAAACCTCAACCAAAACACCACTCTATAGCCACAAATAATGCTCAGAACAGCACCTAACTTCATCAACAGTACATGTAGGGTCCTAGCCATAGTACTAGCCATCAAACATCTTTTTAACTTCACCTAATTTCTT